TCTCTCTCTCTCTCTCTCTCTCTCTCTCTCTTCTCTCTCTCTCTTTCACCCTCTCTCTCTCTCCCTCCCTCTCTCTCCCTCTCTTTCTCTCTCTCTCTCTTTCTCTCCTCCCCCCCTCTCTCTCTCCTCCCCCCCTCTCTCTCTCTCCCTCCCTCTCTCTCTCTCGCTCCCCCCCTCTCTCTCCCTCCCCTCTCTCTCCCCCTAGGGTTTATCTGACCACACTCGTGAGTTCCTCCAGACCAATGCAGTATTATCAGCTAATGCTACGAAGAACCGATACATTAACATATTACCATGTCAGTTCACTCACACCTCAACTCCTTTCACTTATCATCTGTTACTTCTTCAAGCCTATCTTTTGCTTTTACTTCGCTACCTCTTTTCCTCTTTCTATATAAAATACGTTGCTTATAGTGCATGTATTTTACATGTACATGTATGCATGTATTACGTGTTATTATTGTGCTATTGTAGTTGATGAAACTCGTGTTATATTATCATCCTCTAAGAAGGAAGGCTCTGACTACATCAACGCCAATTACATACAGGTACGAGCATCAACTAATACATGTATATGTAATCCACCTACTATACATGTACATGTACATGTATTGCTGGTATATTTTATACAGTTACTATACATGTATATGTAATCCACCTACTATACATGTACATGTACATGTATTGCTGGTATATTTTATACAGTTACTATACATGTATATGTAATCCATCCATTATACATGTACATGTACATGTATTGCTGGTATATTTTATACAGTTACTATACATGTATATGTAATCCATTCATTATACATGTACATGTACATGTACATACTGGTATATTTATACAGTAAGTGTTAAGGAGAAACAGTGAACCTTTTTATTGTACACAGTTAGTCCCTTGAGTATAACATAATGCAACGTTGTATTGGACTTGTGCAGTTTATAAAATAATGAAAGATTATGTTTTTAATTGATAATTTTAGATATACATGTACATGTACATGTACATACTTATTATGCAGTGTATAAATACATGTTCTTATTATTGAAAGTATTATATGATACGACTATCATATAATACTATTGACATCTATTGACATAATACTTACACTTTAATACGACTGTAGAAGTGTGACTATTGTGATTTCTATTATTAGTTTTTATTGTTAGTATGTCAAGATGTACTTGTGGTTTTCAATGTTGCTTTATGACAGTTATTTTTTGTTCCATTTTAGGGATACAACCACACAAAGGAATATATTGCAGCTCAAGGTTTGTTTATGCTCATGCATGACCTTGTGATTCTAAGCCATTCTCTTTCCTTTTCTATATGCAGCTAAGACTATAACATACACTTGCTCTTTCTTTCTCTCCCTCTCTCTCTTTCTTTCTTCAGTTTTTCTCTCTCTCCTCCTTTTAGCCAACCTGAATTATGAGTTCTTTTTACCTTTCTATTTTATTCGCAATCTCTCTTATCCATTTTGTACCTACTGTACATGTACATGTACCTTTATTTGATTTGTGTACATATTTCTCTCTCTCTTTTCATTGTTTTTAGCTTAATATAGTACTTGTATTTTTCTTTTTTTTCTCTTTCACTTTCTCTTTTTTATTCTTTTTACCAACTCATCTCTCTCCCTCTCTCTCTCTCTCTCTCTCTCTCTCTCTCTCTCTCCTCTCTCTCTCTCCTTCTCCCTCTCTCG